TATACCCTCCCTCCTTCTCTCTCTCTCTCTCTCTCTCACACACACACACACATATATACTTTGTCTTGTTCATCTGTCTCTCTATCTCGATTCATATCCATTCTCTCTCTCTATGTATGTATGTATGTATGTATGTATGTATGTATGTATGTATGTATGTATGGTATTCAGCTTTGTTCAGGTATTTTCCCACATCATTATAGTTGTGCTTTTAAAGTTGTAGCAACATTTCAGCGACGTTTCGATGAAGTCTCATTCATCATCTTCAGGCTTGTGTCTTCAGCTTTGTGCTTCTCGGAGGTAAAGTCCCAGATGAACACAATACAGAAGCCTGATAACGGCAGATGAGATTCTGCTGAAACGTTGCTACAACTTTAAAAGCACAACTATAATGACGTGGGAAAATACCTGAACAAAGCTGAATACTATATATATGTGTGTGTGTGTGTGTGTGTGTGTGTGTCTCACACACACACACATTCTTTGTCTTGTTCATCTGTCTCTCTATCTCTCTATCTCTCTATCTCTATTCATATCTATTCTCTCTCTCTCTCTCTATATATATATATGTATGTATGTATCTCTATCTATCTCTCGATCTCTCTATCATCTCTGTCTATTTTGTTTGTGTGTTTGTGTATCTATTTTTCTATCTCTATCTCTATTTCTATCCCATCCATCCATCCATTCATAACTCTCTCTCCACCCTCCCTCCCACCCTTTCTCTATCTCTTTCAACTCTAACTCTTTAGCCCAAACTTCATCTGTAAGAATACTAGATTGATACTTATTTGTTAAATAAGAAAATGTTGGTATCACACAGATGCATGTAGATGTTTAAAAGATACATAGCAAGTAGTAATACTTTTGCTTGATATTTAGAATACGACGATTTTTTAAAAAGCCTTTCTATAATGATGGTTAGTTTCCCCCCTGAAAGCTAAGAACCACAGTTGATGCAACTGAAGTCCAGTCAAAAATGGAGGGCTGTTTTACTAGAGCCCAAGGATCTAAAGATTCTAGTTCTAATTCACATTCCAAGTCCATTACCCAGCCTTCCAAGGTGGGTAAAATGAGGACCCAGATTGTTGGGGGACAATATGCTGTCTCTGGAAACCGCTTAGAGGGGGCTGTAAAGCACTAAGAAATGGTATATAAATGTAAGTGCTATTGCTATTGCTATTATAGAGTCCTTGACTTATGATCAAAATGTCAATTACGAACTGCCTTCCAAGCTGGCCTACATCTCTCTCTCTCTCTCTCTCTCTCTCCCCCTCCCTCTCTGCCAACCTGCTCTACTGGGATAAAAGCAATAGATAAAATATTGCTATAGGCAAATATTTTAAGTTAGACTAAGTTGAACAAAGAGTCTAATAAGTTCTGGGCATCACTGATGCATTTTTCTAGTTTTTATATGGTTGCGATAAACTCTGAAACTTGCTTTGGTTTCATAGTAAGCTGTATAAACTGAATAAAAATTTATAGATAGCTAGAGATACAGGGCAATTGGGAAAAAATTAATCTGTTTTATGATGTGTTTTAGAGACAGAAAGAGACAGAGAGCGCATGTATCACTGAATAATTTTAATCTGTTTTATGATGTATTTTAGATAGATAGATAAATAGATAGATATAGTTACATGATAAAGAGATAAAAGACATAGACGATAGATGAGAGAAAGAGAGAGAGATAGATAGATAGATAGATAGATAGATAGATAGATAGATTGATTGATAGATAGATGGATGATAAGCTACCTAGCTAGCTAGATGATAGATGAGAGAAAGAGATACAATGAGAGACCAGGCAAGTGTATAACTGAATAATTTTAATCTGTTTATGATATTTTCATTATTTATAATCAGGGGCTTTTTAGCAGGAAAACATAATACAAACAAAACTTTGACAGGGTTACTTGTTGCTCTTAGGTGTAAACATTCAATTTCTTCATTTTTTCCATATTTTTGGTCTTTCTACATCTTGCTTAAGTCATAATATTCTAGGTGTAAGTCCAGTCATGTCTGACTCTAGGGGGATGGTTCTCATCTCCATTGCTTAGTTGAGGGAGCCAGCGTTGTCCAAAGACCTTTCTGTGGTCATGTGGCCAGCATGACTATGTACTGTGGTGCATGGAATGTTGTTTCTTCCCCACCAAACCAGTACCTATTTATCTACTCGCATTTGCATGCTTTCAAGCCGTTAGGTGGGCAGGAACTAGAGCAAGGAATGGGAGCTCCCCCCATCGTATGGCTCTCGGATATCGAACCCTGTCAGCTTTTCAGCTGACAAGCCCAGCAACTTAACTGGTGATCATCATGTTGTCACCCCCATAATATTCTAACAGGGTTCTAATAGGAAAAGGAACTCCTGAAGAATGAGGAATTATTGCAATGAGAATATTATTTCTGCCTTAACCTGCGTAAAAGGTACCGGATAAATCAGTAATAAAGTCTATTTTTCATGTTAGGTTAAACTTAGAAGTTGATGTGATGGAGGCCAAGCTTAGCAAAGAGTGTGGTTTAAAAAAAAAACTAGGCAGGGCAGCTATGTGTGAAAAATTACCAATTATTGGATAAAGTCTACAATTAAAATATGGCATGGTTGCCATGCAAGCTGGTGTTTTCTGGTGCAAAAAATAAAAATAAAAATAGCAGAATCAACTAGAAACGAAGGCATCTTAAATTGTTCTTGTCATCTTCACTTGTTTAAATTAGGGCTGTCCATAGACCGATAGAAATTTATTTATTTTTTGGGATAGCAAATCGAATGCCTTCCTTTGGAACAGATCAATGGGGGGCTTGATTTAAACATTAGTGTTTGAAGGTAGAGCTGTGTGGCAATGACGTTTTTGTCAGTTAGTGCACAAACTTTTAACCATCAACTTCATGGCTTGATTTGGGTTGAGTGTCCTCTACCAAGAATCCACTTAGGACCCAGGGATCCTGCCAACAATCAGGAACCATCTAGAATGGCATGGAATGAAGGGGAGGAAAACAGCAGGACAGATGTCAATTGACTATAGTTCATCCAAGGTCCCTGGTGTAAACCAGAACTTCTACGAGGTAATTTCAACCATAAAGGTAAAGAGATAAGCAGGAGCTGGAGCAAGTAACAGGAGCTCACACCATCAGGAAGTGCTTGGGTCTCAAACTGCTAACGTTTCAGTCAATGAACCCAGTGTCTTAACCACTGGGATACCATGCCCCCAATTTTAACTCTGCTCACTGTAATCTCCAGTCCAACTACGTGGAATTTGAGAGGGTCCTGACCCCCCCATATTTTTTGGGGGGGTGGGGGTAGGCTGAGCAAGGAGGAAGATGGAGCAAGAGATTAGATCCCAGCCAGCAATTCTAAGCCAAATACAATTAGCTATAATTACATTATCTTAATCTACTGGGATTTAGCTGCAAAGAATGTAAGTGTCAAGAGTGAAACCTGGGCAGCTACCTGCTTCTTTGTTTCAATGTCATTAGAGTAAAGGGGAGCAGATGTTGACTGAGAATTGATTAATTTGGAGAAAGAAAACTTCTGTGGTTCCATGGGAGTTTGGAAACTTTTCAAGGCCATATAAATACTGGTAGGTGTGAAGAAGAAGGCAGATGGTTCCCATAACAAAGAGAACTTGTTTACATGGTCTACCTGGAAGCCTGAGGGTTGAGCTGGGAAATTCATTGTTTAATATTGTGAACTGGTGCCTTAGAAATTCAAAGTTAACTTTACCTGGCCATTCCTATGCTATGTATTCAATAAAAGGTAAGCTTTTCAGAACCGAAATGATCCTGGGTTTTTATTTGGGTACTTAAACTGGTTGCTGACAGTAAGACAACATCAACATCAAGCTGGATGTTGACAGTAAGACTAATCATGGTGGTTAGATCATGGCTAGTCTCTAAACCAGGGACACCTTCCACAGCTAATGTTGAAAGGGAAATAATAGTACATAGTATAACGAAGCTCGGTAGCAATTGGTTCTTCCAGCCCTAATTTAAAAGTGATTCAAGGAAATGATAGTTTCATAGTTAATCAACATTTCCAGAGGTAATCTTAACAACTTTATCAGCCATATTCTACCAAAACTTTAAATGAAATAATATTGGAACCTATCTATTGGGTAAGCACACCTCTCTCAGCCAAACACCGTAGCGATGAGTCCCAGCCCGGCATGACACTAGAATTTCAGGAAATTGTTAGAGAAAAAGTAAATAACTTTCCAATGATATATAAAGTGGTTTTTCTACTATCAGATCACTTTATAGTGTGTGTGGGGAGAAAGAATTAACAGGCAAAAACACTTTTATTTGGTAAAACTGCTAGGGAGGAATATAATCTCTGCCCATGGAATCTAATATAACCAACCTTATTTCTCAACAGTATTCTGCTATTTTAAAATAAGGAATTGCGTGCCATGGTTAATAGCAATATTACGCTACATAAGAACAATACAATTTTCTATTTTGTTGCAACGAACGAAATCAGGTTTATACTGATGAACTTCCTTTACATCAGGGGTCTTCAAACTTGACAGCTTGAAGACTTGTGGACTTCAACTCCCAGAATTCCTTCTCCAGTCATGTTAGCTCAGGAATTCTGGGAGTTGAAGCCCACAAGTCTTAAACTTGCCAAGTTTGAAAGACCTTTGCTTTACATTGTTGAAGTTTAATGTGTTAATGCAGAGTTTCTCAACCAGGGCCACTTTAAGATGGGAGGACTTCAACTCCCAGAATTCCCTAGCCAGAATGCAATAAGGAATTCTGGGAGTTGAAGTCCTCCCATCTTAAAGAGGCTCAGCTTGGGAAGTACTGTTCTGATATATATATTTCCCCTTATATTTCAAAAAGTCCCCGTTTCCCCTGCCTTTATTTCACAATATACAGGGATTTGCGGAGAAAACCTTCTCAAACCCCCTCGTTTAAATAGGACTCAATCGTGAACTGAATTTTTTCAATCCTGATGTGGAATATGGGGCTGGTGGTGGTGTGACGGCATGCATTATACTCACTGAACAACTTCTACGTGGTCCAGGGCCCATTGATCGTGGCCTGAGCCACTGTGGCGGGATTGCCACCAGCGAAGTAACACCCCCTTCATCCGTGCCTCCCTAAAATGAGAAATGACACAGTGAGGGAGCAGAAAAGAACAGAAGATAGGATAACAGAGTCAGAAGGGACCTCAGAGATCTTCTAGTCCAGCCCCTCTGCTTCAGCAGGAGATGCTATACCATTTCAGACAAAGGGTTGTCCAGTCTCTTTTTGAAAATGATGGAGCAACTGCAACTTCTGAAGGCAAGTTGTCCCACTGGTTAATTGTTCTCACCATTAGGAATTTTCTCCTTAATTCTAGGTTGCTTCTCTCCTTGGTTAGTTTCCAGCCATTGTTTCTTGTCCTGCTCTCAGGTGCTTTGGAAAATAGTTTGATTCCCTTATCTTTGTAGGAGCCCTTCAAAGATAAGAGCACTGCTATCATGTCATCCCTAGTCCTTCTTTTTATTAGACTAGGCCAGTGATGGCTAACCTTTTCCACATCATGTGCCGAATGCGTGCGTGATCCCCCAGCCCCATGCACCTCTGCGCATGCACACATGACCTGCGCATGCGCCCTGGCCCCTGTGCACGCATCTCCCCTCACGCATGCACAGCAGATACCCAACAATCAGCTGGCTGGCAGGGGGCACGTGCACATATGCAGTGGGAGTCTTCTGGGCGATCTCTCACATGCCGGCAGAAATGACTCTGCATGTCACTTCCGGCACACGTGCCATACATTCGCCATCATGGGACTAGGCCCGTGATGGCGAACCTATGGCACGCGTGCCACAGGTGGCATGCAGAGCCATTCATGCCGGCACGTGAGCTGCAGGCAAACTTACCTCACTGTGCATGCGCGTGTTTCACAGCTGATTTTTGGCTGGTTTGAGGCCTTTTCTGGCCCCCCAAAGGCTTGAGAAAGGCTTCTGCAGGCTTTGCAGGCTGAAAACTAGCCCCGTTTTGTCACTTCCTGTTTTTCCTAAATTACTGGAAGTGACAAATTGCGCACGAATGCGTAGGGGGTATGGGGGGGTTGCACATTGCCTTCTAGGTGCTGGCACACGAGTGTGAGCATGCAAGCACACACACAATTTTTGGCACAGCAGCCCAAAAAGGTTAGCCATCATTGCACTAGGCAGACTCAAGTTTCTGTAACCATTCTCAGATATATTTTAGTTTTCAGTCCCCTAATCATCTTTGTTGCTCTTCTCTGCACTCTTTCCAGAGTCTCACCATCTTTTTTTTTATATTGTGGTGTGCAGAACTGGATGCACGATTCCAAGCGTGGTCATACTAAGGCTTGGTAAAGTGGTACTAGAACTTCAAATGATCTTGATTCTATCCCTCTGTTTATGCAGCCTAGGATTGCATTGGCTGTTTTGGCTGCTGCCGTACACTGTTGGCTCATATTTAAGTGATTGTCCACTAGGACGTCTCAGCTTCCTGGTCGCCTTTAGAGATGTTGGACTTTGGTTCTCATCATCCCCTCCTAGACTGGATATTGAGGCCCACCATGCATTGAGGAGATTGTGTTGAAGAACGTTAGTCTGGATGTGTTTTCAGATCTTTTAGACTGCAATTCCCCTAATCCTCACTCTGGAAGGGTGCTGAGGCCCTCCATTTTGAAAAGCTCATGCTGCAGAAGGTTGGCTTGTATCTGAAGTAGCTCTTGAAATGGTCATTTTGTGAAAATTTACGAGCAGGATGAAAATACATCCTGGATTTCATTAAATGTCAAGGTGTTACTGCTAGAAATAAGCAGATAATATGAACTAAAAAAAGCCAATAAGCTGAGGAGAGAACCAGCCTAAAACTTCAAGGAGAAAACCAACCTGGAACTAAGAAGAAATTTCCTGACAGATAGAACAATTAATCAGTGCCTCCAGAAGTTGTGGGTGCTCTAACACTGGAAGTTTTTAAAGAAGAGATTGGACAGCCATTTGTCTGAAATGGTATAGGGTTTCCTGCCTGAGGTAGGGGGTTGGACTAGAAGACCTCCAAGTTCCCTTCCAATTCTGTTACTCTGATTCCATTTTGAATTCTAAGGCCATTTTAAAATCCATCAAGGATTCTGGTTGTTGAAAATTGTATCAGAATCCAGTAGCTCCGCTCTAGGAATGGATGTTGAAGCTGGCTCTGAGGAATGCTAAGTGACTTACTATTGGTCAAGCCTCACCTAATTCACAAAAACGTTGTGAAGATAAAATTGGGAGTATAAGGTGTAGTATCTGGAGCTTCTGAAGAAAACACAAGCTATAAAGCGGAAGATCTCATCCTTATGCCGTCTCTCTCTCCTTCCTTCTAGTTTTACATGTAGCCTTTAAAAAATCGAACTGTTTTTATATTTATCACTTTACTATCACCCATAGTGGACCTCTCTGTGAGAAGGGTGGCATATACATTTAATAAAATTCATAAACACACGAAATAAAGGTGAAACCAGTTCACCTTCATTGAGGCTGCATTCGCTAACAATAATAACTGGTTTGGATGATGTTTTTCTGCGTGCATTTTCAAAGAAGGTGTTTTGCAGTTTTTGTGATCGAGTCAAATGGTCACCAAGGGCCACATGTCTCCAGCTCCCTCAAAATCAGATTTGATCTGTAACTTGATTCAGGGATTTGGTGATTTTTAAAGAAAAAGGACAGGCAGAGCCTGGGGGTGGAGTCAAGAGAGGAATTAGCCTGGAGTTGTTACATTCCCACAAATGGCCTCAATTCAACCTCTTCAATTCCGCTCTTATCTAGCACCAATTTAATGCTGACTGTTACTTGACTAGATTCTTGTGTTATAGGCCTGATCTTGACTAGATTCTTGTATTATAGGCAGGGGTGGGATTCAAAAATCCCAGCAACCAGTTTGCTGCCCAGTTGCTGGGTGGGTGTGGCCATAGTGGGCGTGGCCTACGGGAATTTCCGGGAGGGCTGTTTTTTGCCTTCCCAAGGGTCCAGAGGCTTCCCTCAGGCCTCTGGAAGGGCAAAAATGGCCTCCCCGGGCTCTGGAGGTCCTCCAGAAGCTGGAAACAGGCCTGTTTCCAGACTTCTGGTACTTCCAGTACGGCCAGTTTCCCCCCCTCCCAGAGCTTTCGCGCAGACCCTGCACTTACCTGCATCAAAAATGGGCTGCGTGGAGACTCCTGGGAGGGGTGGGGCCAGCCGGTCGGTTCAAATATGGGTTCGGCGAATCAGATGCAAATTTAACATCCGGTTCGCCCAAACTGATCCAAACCGGTAGAATCCTACCCCTGGTTATAGGTGCGATGGCGTTAATCAGCTTCAAAAGAATTTAGCGTGAGATCCTGATTTTCCGCGCCCGATGCTTTTCACTCTCAAGAGAAACGTAGTATAATGGCATACTCACAGTGGCACATTGTAAGACACTCTTTGTGCTTGTATAAAATCTTTTGGCTGGTGTTGTGCAATGACTTGCCATGTAATTCCATTGTTTACGCTGTACTGGAGCAACACAGCTTTGTCCACAGTGTTGGGGTCACTGAGATTTGTGTTGCAACTATCGGTTTGTGAAAGACTTCCAATTTGCAAAACAAACATTATTTTGCTGGGGGAGGGAGGAGGGAGAGGAAAGCAGGAGGAAGGATGATAACAAAGAGAAGGAGTTAATTCCTGATCTTTGACAAGAATAAAAGAATTATCGAAACATTGACAACTGCACACACACACACACACACACACACAGAGCCACCCAACAAACCCACCCACAAATCACATACAAAAAGACAAGGCAATTAAAACTTTACAATTCTTAGTAATTAGCGCAAATAATTCAATTATTGAAATTATTATATCAAATTATTGTAAGAATTAGTCAATCTTTATGTGCTGTTTTTAATGTTTTTAAGTTGTTAGCTGCCCTGAGTTATTGGATACGAGATGGGGCAAATAGATTTGATAATAAATAAATTAAAAAATATATATAAATAAGTATTAGAGTAGATAACTTTCTTCCCAGTGTTTGTCTTATTATATCTTTTATAAACATCTAACTTGGTCTGGTGGATTTTTTTTTAATAAACATCTTGTTACGGTCTAATGCAATCTGTTATGTCTTAAAAATTAGTTGCCAATAATTTTGACCTCTTAATGATCTCTCCAACCTTCTTAAAATTAGTCCCAATTTAACTGCCATTCATTTCCGGAATGCCTCAATATTTTATCACACTATTTAAACGAGGAAATGTTTTAGATTCATGATGCCTAAAATTACCTTGCTCGGGTTAAATCCAGAGCCTTGGTCACCGCTTGCCTTATCTGACAGCCATTGAAATAGAGAGAGTCACCATGAGCGTATGGGGCTAGCTGTCCACATCCGTTCCCTATCACTCCACCCTGAATAATTTCCCAGTTTATTTCGGTAATTCTTGCCGACTCGAAATTGTCTTTAATGTAGCTGGGAAGTTCATGGTTGAAAACAGAGCAATCGTCACCTGAAAAAAAAAGTATCTCACTTCAACAGTTATCAAGTTATTGCAACTGAAAATGTATATTCAACTTAGAACTACGCCGCCTACGGTCTGACATAAGCTTACTACACAAAATTGCCTGCTACAACATCCTATCTGTCAATGACTACTTCAGCTTCAACCACAATAACACACGGGCAAACAATAGATACAAACTCAAAGTAAACTGCTCCAAATTCAACTGCAGAAAATACGACTTCAGCAACAGAGTGATCAATGCCTGGAACTCACTACCCGACTCTGTTGTTACATCCTCAAACCCCTAAAACTTTAACCTTAAACTCTCTACCGTGGACCTCACTCCATTCCTAAGAGGTCTGTAAGGAGGTGTGCATAAGTGCACCCATCCCTGTCCTTCCCATTTATTCATACTCATTTATTATGTATATACCTATACCTGTTTATACTTATATGTTTATATAATATGTTCATACTTATACTTGTTTTCTCATACATTGTAACTATGAGTTATGATCCACGACCTATCACTTTGTTGTTAATCAGAGACAAATTCCTTGGGTATCAAAGGGGCAATAAAGAATTCTATTCTATTCTGTTCTAAAACCATCCATACAAGGTCCCTTCCAACTCTGTTAATCTGAATCCAGAGCTCCACTATCAAAGTATCAACCCAACCTCACACAAGAGAAGCTGTTTGAAAACACTAATTAAAGCAGCGGTGTCAAATTCAAGGTCCACAGGCTGAATCCAGCCCAACCGGTAGCAGAAATTTTGAGTAGTTCGGAGAACCGGCAAATACCGCCTCTGACTGGCCCCACCCCCATCTATTCTCCGCCTCCCATTGAGACCCAGTTGATCGTCTGGGTCTTCTTTGGTTGCCCTGCACAGGAGAACGGAGCTGGAAAGCAGGTTGGTGAGAATGGGGATTTTGCATATATCCTTCCCCTGGAGTGGGGTGAGAATGGAGATTTTGCAGTATCCTTCCACTGCCACGTGCACCAAGCCACGCCTACCAAGCTACACTACACCATGCCACCAAGCCACGCCCACAGAACTGGTAGTAACATTTTTTGAATCCCACCACTGCCATGGTGCCTCTGCCAGCAAAAATGGGCTCCCAATCTCCATTTTGGGCTGCGATGGCCTCCTGAAACCCTCTGCCAGCAAAAATTGAGGTCAGGAGGGCCACATGCACCACCACCCCGAGCTCCATTTTCACTGGCAGAGGGTTGCAGGAAGCTGTCCCATCCAAAAACAGATTGGGAGCCCATTTTCGCTGGCACAGCACTCAGGCCACCACAGGCACCCCCGACATGAGTGATGTCAAACTGACCATGCCCCCATGGCCACGCCCACCACAGCCCCCCATGATCAGCTACAACCCTGATGCAGCCCTCTATGAAATTGAGTTTGACACCCCTGATTTAAAGGAACACAAACACGCCGCAGCCACCCCTGAACATCTGAGAAAGGAAACATTGCATCTATACCAAATCTGACCTTGGTATTCCTCATCACAAATACAAATGGCCCCCGTGGTACAATATCCGTGGCCGCTGCAGAGTTTGGGACATGCTTCTCCGATGTACACATGATCGATCGCCCAACTTTGTTTTTCTGGTTCTTCTCCTTTTTGGATCCACCGGAACTGGGTCGCACTAGAAATAAAATTGTCCACGTGTAGACACAAGAGGTCAGCATGTCAGGATTCTGGCTGTTACACCCCCCTGGCTTCCACTTAATATACCAATAGAGAGAGCCCTCGTCTTAGAACCATTCATTTAATGACGATTAGGCATGGAAAGAAGTAACTTTTGACCATTTTTCACACGACTGTCACACATGATCTAAATTCAGACCCTTGGCAACCGGTTCATATTTATGACGGTTGCAGTCTCCGGGGGATCATGCGATCCCCTTTTTGCAACCTTCTGATGGGCAAATTCAATGGAGAAGCCAGATTCACTAACAACCGGGTTACTAACTAAATAACTGCAGTCACTTAAAGTTACAACGGCACTGAAAAATGTGACTTTTGACCGTTTTTCACCGTTACGACCTTTGCAAGCATCCCCATGATCACGGGATCAAAATTCAGATGCTTGGCAACTGGTTCACATTTTACGATGTTTGTATTTACGGCGGGGTGGATGTGATGTCCCTTTGTGACCTTCTGGCAAGCAGGAAATCCTAGCAATGAGGAAACCAAGATTCACTTAAGAACCGTGTCACTAATTTATCCACTGCAGGGATTCACTTAACAACAGTAGCAAGGCATGTTGTAAAGTGTGCAAAAGTTACTCGACGACTGTCTCACTCAGGAGTAGAAATGTTGGGCTCAACTGAGGTTGCAAGTTGAGGACCAGCTGTTAATTTGTGTTATTCCGGCTCATGATATAGCCAAAGTCAGTGAACGTTCTGAGGGGGGATATGATACTGAAGAAGCACGGTGTGCAGGGGTGGGTTCTTACCGGTACTCCCCGGTTCGGGCGAAACCTTAGCTAACCAGTAGCTAATTTTATGGCTGGTTTGGTGAACCAGTAATTCTGATGACTGAATGGCCCCACCCACCCAGCGCCTTCCCTCCCAGGAGTCTCCACGCAACCCGTTTTGGATCACAGGTAAGTGCATGGCGCACGTGAAGGCTTGAGCAGAGCAAAAAACGGGCCTCCCGGAAGTTCAGGAAGCTCGGAAATGGGCCCGTATCTGGCCTCCAGAGCCTTGGGAAGTTGTTTTCGCTCTCCCAGAGGCTCAAGAAAAGCCTCTGAAGCCCAGGGAGGGCAAAAATGCTCACCCCACCATGGTGCAGGATGCCGACTAGGCCACACTGTTAGGAATATAAGTCACCTAACAGGTATTTGGGTTAGAAATATATAAACCAGGATAAACATTTTAAAACTGTATCTTTAAGAAAATGCAAAACTGTAATTAGGTGTGGTTTCTCAAACGGCCATAAGATGGAACCAGAAACCTGGTTTGTCTTAGTCTTAGTCTCAGAAGAGAGTGTGAGTCAGTCTCTGTTTCCTTCTGTTGGAAAATATTGCCGTTCCTCCATTTTTCCTAATTGACTGATATTCCTGGATTTAATGTAAGTCTGATAATGAACTGTTTTTGACACTAGAATTTGTTATTGGATAATCCCTGGACTGAAAAACTAACTGATTTACCTGTGAATGACTTTTGGATTGCTTATCTTGAACTTTGCTTAACGTTTCTGGAAGTAAAAACCTACATTTACTGTACAGTGTATCTGTGTGCTGTATGTGTATTATTCAAACACTACTCTCAAATACGTCTCCCTGTATGCGCTCATTCTCCTAACGGGGAATTACCTCAACACACACACACCATAGCCACGGCCACCCAGCAACCAGGCAGAGAACCCATTGTTAAATTTGTGAAGCCCACCCGTGCTTATGCTGTTGCAACTATTATCTCTTCTCAGCTTGCCAACGAACTAGGGAGGGGAGAGGGAGAGGGAGATGGAATATAGGCTCCAGACATCGATGAGCTTTGAGAGCCAAGGACACTTCAGCAGGTGTTTGCCAAAACCAAAGACTTTTTCTCATAACAATACAATGACATTCCGTTGGACAATGTGACTAGCTAATTTTATGGCCAGTTCAGTGAGCCAGTAATTCTGACGACTGGCTGGCTCCAGCCCCTCCCCTCCCAGTAGTCTCCACGCGGCTCATTTTGGATCCCAGGTAAGTGCAGGGCATGCGCAGAGGCTCGGGGAGAGCGAAAAATGGGCCTCCTGGAAGTTCAGGAAGGCTGGAAGTGGGCCCATTTCTGGTCTCTGGAGGGTCTCTGGAGCCTTGGGAGGTTGTTTTCATCCTCCCAGAGGCTTGAGGAAAGCCTCCGGAGCTTGGGGAGGGTAATAATGCCCTGCCCACCATGGCCACAGCCATCCAGCAACCAGGCAGAGTTTTTTAAAATTTTTGAAGCCCACCCCTGAAGATGCGGTCACATTTTGGAGAGAAACCTACCTGGAGGAGACATGATCTGGCAGCTGAATGGTTATCCTCTTCCAAGTGGAGCTGTTGACAGAGTTATAGATGGTCGCTTCGTGAAACTGAAACGGGGAGCAGCCAACGCTGTTGGAGGAAGACGGAAGGCACTGCGTCTGGACGAGCTGCCAGGAGTCTAATCTGAAGGGAAGCCAAAGAGGTAAAATTGCTAGGGGTGGAAGGGAGAGAATGCATTGGCCAACAGTGGCAAAAAAATAAACCAACAACCCTGAGTGACTTCTCTACTTTCTCTTTAAGCCTTTTCGCCGCATAAGGAAGTTAAAACAGAAGGTTTCTGTTTGTATTTCCCTTCATTGGATGTCTATGGAGATTCTCAGCCATCCAGGTTGTTCCAAAGGTGCTTTATTTACAAGAGACAACTGGACTTTCTGCTATACTCCTTGCAGACAGCTGGTCATTTGCATCCTTTTAGAGAGTCATTGAGGTGACCCTGAAGACACAGATAAACCTCCAAGTGGTCTCAACGACTCACTAAAAAGGATGCAAATGACCAGCTGTCTTCAAGGTATATAAAATAAATCCTTCCATTCCCCCACCATCCAGTCATAGCTGAAGAAGCTTCTTGGACGAGAAGCGAAACTTCTTCAAAGAAAAACCAGAAAGTCCAGTGGCCTCTTGAAAAAGAAAAAAGCACCTTTGGGACTTTACTAGATAAGTTCATAAGAGATTGGAAGCCCTTTGTGGACTTCCCACCCATCAGAGGGTAATACAGGGCAATACAGAGGGTTAACAGAGGATTTTGAAGATTAGTTTTACCTGTTGGGGTTACCTGTTGACTGCTTTTTATATACTGTCTGTCTTCTGACAAGCAAATTCAATAGGGAAGCCAGATTCACCTAACTTAGCAACTGCAGTGATTCACTTAACAATTGTGGCAAGAAAGGTTGAAAAGGGCACAAAACTCACTTCACAACTGTCTCGCTTAGCAGCAGGAAGTTTGGGCTTTCTTAGAGCTTTGTGTAAATTCATAAAACATTCTTATGCCTGTTTCAGTAGTTGCCATAGGGAACGGGGGGAGAGGAGGAAGGAAATCTGGAAGAGCAGTTGAAAGCGAAAGTACATTCCAACTCTTATCTTTAAAAGATTGTAACTAAAATACCAGAGCTTTTGCCAGCAAATATATTTAATTGGAGAACGTGATTGATGACACCCAGCCCGTCAACGGGCTCAATTAGAGAATCTGGTTTATGAGACACCCAGGGGGTAGGGGGGAAACAGGGTCACAGAGGACTGTAAATTATGTATGCCAGAGTTGGCTTCATACAAGGCAGTGCCAGTATGTCGCCTCTAATGAATCCTTTGAAGTTTTTTGAAGTTTGGCTCAAGAATCATAATTTAATTAGAGCGATTGCTGGAATCCTGACTCTTTGTTTGGCTTACTTGATAAAGGTGAGGCTTTTTTACTGATGAGGCTATATCCGTGATGGCGAACCTATGGCATGCGTGCCACAGGTGGCATGCAGAGCCATTTGTACGGGCACGCAAGCCCCAGGCAAACTTACCACACTACACATGCGCATGCCTCCCAGCTGATTTTTGGGCCTTTTTCGCCCTCCCAGAGGCTCAAGGGAAGCCTCCACAGCCTTTGTGGGCCGAAAAACAGGCCCATTTAGTCACTTCCTGTATTTCTGGAAATACCGGAAGTGACAAAACAGCCCCATTTTTTGGCCTCCAAAGGCTGCAGAGGCTTCCCTCGAGCCTCTGGGAGGCCAAAAAAGGCCCTAAAATCAGCTGGGAGGCACACACATGCGCAGTGCAGGTAAGGAGGTGGGGGGAGGATAGTGTGCACATGTGCAGAGGGGGTGGGGGGGGGGCTGTGCGCATTGCCTTCTGGGTGGTGGCACATGGGCATGCGCGTGCAAGCATTTGCACAATTTTCGACACAGGAGCCAAAAAGGTTAGCCACCACTGGGCTATATTAATGCAGGCATGCTGTATAAGGTATCTCTAGAACTTTTTGTAAATATCAGTGTGTTTATATGTGTGCATGCCTTTTGGATCTTCGGCTGAGAAGCTCCAAGAACTACAAATAGTCCTCGACGTACAACAGTTTGTTTAGTGACCATTCAAAGTTACAACAACACTGAAAAAAATGACCACTTTTCACACTTATGACCATTGTAGCATCCCCGCGGTCATGTGATCAAAATTAAGACTCTCAGAAACATATTTATGACCATTCCAGTGTCCTAGGGATCGTGTGATCTCCTTTTGCGACCTTCTGACAAGCAAAGCCAATGGGGGAAGCCAGATTCACTTAACAACCGGATTATTAATTGAACAACTACAGAGATTCACTTAGCATATGTGTCAAGAAAAGTCATAAAATGGGGCCAAACTCACTTAATCAATTTCTCACTTAGCAACATACGTTTTGGGCTCAGTTGTGGTTGTACCTTGAGGGCTACCTGTATTAGCTAGAGTTGAATAATTGAAAAAACAAAACAAAAACATCTTGGCAATGACCAAGAAATTTTGCATCTGTTCTGTTACCAAGATAGATAAACAAGATATCAGCTTTGGAAGCCATATTGAGACCAGATGCTCCCACGCTGCCACATTTTGAGCCTGGGAAAATGTGAGGGTGGAATTTCTTGGAGTGTATGTAGTTAGACATAATAACATTCTTTTTCTGATTCAAGGTCATGTTATTCTGCACCTAAGTGAGAAATATCAAGTGAGGACGAATGGTGATTGGGGCATGTGATGCGATGATGGGTGCAGGGGATGGATTTGTAGTTTTTATGTATTGCAAGGAAGCCCGGAACTTTCTGATTCAGGATTCCCCAGTTATGCCAGTTTACTATCCAATTAAAACAGAACTTTTGAGAAGATGTCTGTCTCGGAGTTATTTGTGGGAGTGGAGATTTTCTGGAATGCTGACATTAGACATATTTATAAATTCCAATAATAGAACTTGAATTCAGGGAGATTTTACATTCATATCTACAGTTACACTGATATTCACACAAATATTAAATAATTGTAAAATAGGTATTTTGAATCTTCAACTCCATGTTTTCAATCGCAGCCACACGTTTTATATTTTACCTAGCATCCTTAGAGTACTCCAGCATTACTGAATGGAGATCACCACAAGATGTTGCTTCACAGCCAACCACAATCTGAAATAATTAAAATGAGACATGTTTTCTCTTCAATATTGTCATTCTGTTTGCAACAATTTGTTCTCCTTGTCCATTCTGATAGACCATTGCATATGTTTGTCCCAAAATAGCCAATCCCAAAGATATCCCTAGAAATTCTCTGGTTAATCAAAACTTTAGCAATAGCAGCACATTATATATGATATTTCACTTCTGCTTCGTTTGGATAACAGTATTTTTCTTCTCATAAAGAATAAGATAGTTTGGTTTTCTAGTTACTCATAAGAGTAACTAGAGAGACAACTAGCTCGGTGTAGTGATGAAGCACCAGGCTAGAAACTGGGAGTTTGTGAGTTCTAGTCCCGCCTTAACCATGAAAGGCAGCAGGGTGACTTTGAGCCAATCATCAGGAGACTTTGAGTTCTAGTCCCGCCTTACCTATGAAAGGCAGCTGGGTGACTTTGGGCCAATTATCAGGAGACTTTGAATTCTAGTCCCGCCTTAGCCATGAAAGGCAGCTGGGTGACTTTGGGCCAATCATCAGGAGACTTTGAATTCTAGTCCCGCCTTAGCCATGAAAGGCAGCTGGGTTGCTTTGGGCCAGTCCCTCTCCCTCAGCCCAACCCACCTCACAGGGTTGTTGTTGTGGGGAAAATAATAAGTGGAAGGAGTATTATGTATGTTTGCCACTTTAAGTTACTTATAAAGTAACAAAGGCAGGCCAAAAATCAAATAAATAAGCCTTAGACACCACTCTTCCAATTGACCTACCATCTATATATTCATGTTAGAATAGAATGACAGAGTTGGAAGGGACCTTGGAGATCTTCTAGTCTAACCCCCTGCTTAGGCAGGAAACCCTACACCACTTTAGACAAATGGTTGTCCAATCTCTTCTTAAAAACCTCCACTGCTGGAGCATTCACAACTTCTGGAGGCAAGACGTTCCAATGATTAATTGTTCTGTCAGGAAATTTCTCCTTAGTTCTAAGTTGCTTCTCTCCTTGATTAGTTTCCACCCATTGCTTCTTGTCCTGTCTTCAGGTGCTTTGGAGAATAGCTGGACTCCCTCTTCTTTGTGGCAGCCCCTGAGATATTGGAACACTGCTATCATGTCACCCCTAGTGCTTCTTTTCATCAAACTAAACTAGATATACCCAATTCCTGCAACGTTCTTCATATGTTTTAGCCTCCAGTCCCCTAATCATCTTCGTTGCTCTTCTCTGAACTCTTTTTAGAATCTCAGCATCTTTTTTACATCATGGCAACCAAAATTAAATGCAGTATTCCATGTGTGGCCTTATCGAGGCATTATAAAGTGGTATTGCCATAACAACTTCTCTTGATTCTATCCCTCTGATGTTAATTGATACTATTGTTAGATGCACATGTAACTTCCAAAAACTCTAATAAGCAACATACAGTAAATATGGGGTAATAATTTGAACAGATCTATCAGAGTTTCAGAACAAGTCTGATTTAAATCAATGTTTTACTCTGAATGCACAGAAATATCTTCTTACTTTAAACTGGATCATGTATCCAGGTTGTATAATGAGCTCCCGGGAAGACAAGATATTATACGTCTGATCCTTTTTCTTATTTGGCCAATAGAGATGAAAGGAGGGGTTACCGCAGAACCCTGCCGTCCTGACTGCATTTGGGTAGAAACTCCAATTTTCTTCATGGGAGATGCCTTCTGTTCAGATCAAGGAGTGAAAATAAACCAGAAAATTACACTGTGCAGAATACACAGCACAATATATCCTAACCAGAGGTGGTCTTCAGCAGGTTTGGACCAGTTCTGGAGAACCAGCAGTGGAAATTTTGAGTAGTTCGGAGAACCGCCCAATGCCAGTTCTGACTGGCCCCGCCCGCATCTCTTCTCTGCCTCCCGAGTCCCAGCTGATTGGCTGGGTCTTCTTTGGTTGCTCTGTACAGGAGAATGGAGCTGGAAAGCAGGTTAGTGGGGTGGGGAGGGAATTGGGGATTTTGCAGTAACCTTCCCCTGCCACGCCCACCAAGCCATGCCACGCCCACCAAGCCACGCCCACAGGGAGTAAATTTTTCTGAAATTCCCAATGTAATCAAACTATAAATAGTTAAGATCATTTTCCCAGTTATCCCATTGTTTGTAAAGATGGAATGTTAATTTAGAGAGTTGGAGATGCTGAGAGGAAAAGAGGAAGAATTTTATTAGAATATTAGAAAAAGATAACAGAGTCTTCTACATTCACCATCCAAATCCTTGTCAATCAGCAGTCTGTGGACTATGAACAGGTAGTCCTTGACTTACAATAATTCACTGAGTGACCGTTCAAAGTTACAACGGCACTGAAAAATGTGACTTATGACCGTTTTTCACACTTACGACCCTTGTGGCATCCCTCTAGTCACGTGATCAAAATTCAGATGCTTGGCATATGGTTCGCATTTATGACGGTTGCAGTGTTCTGAGGTCATGTGATCTCCTTTTGCGACCTTCTGACAAGCAAAGCCAATGGGGAAGCAGGATTCACTTAACAACCATGTCACTAACTTAACAACTGCAGTGATTCACTTAACAATTGTGGCAAGAAAGGTTGTAAAATGGGGCAAAATTCACTGGACAAATATTTCACTTAGCAACACAAATATTGGGCACTATTGTGGTCATAAGTCGAAGACTACCTGTATATTTTCTGGCACTAAAAAAAGGGTAAAGGTTTTCCCTGCCCAATTCTAGGGGGCGGCGCTCATCCCCATTTATTAGACGAGGGACCCAGCATGGTCAGAAGACACTTCAGTGGTCATGTGGCCGGCATGACTATATTGAACGTGGTGTCAGGGCTCCGACAATCTACCCCAATTCGAATCATGAGTCTCTAGGCGTATCTCTCAGAGTTTAAAAAAAACCCATTTATTAGGAGTGAACATGTCAGCATTACCTGGGTGCAGCCAACACTGAAGTGGTTACCTTCCCACCACCAAAGTGGTACCTATTTATCTACTTGCATTTGCATGCTTTCGAACTGCTAGATAGGCACGAACTGAGGTGAGAACGGGAGCTCACCCCATCTGCACAGCACTTGGGTTTTGAATCTGGGCTGTCAGCTTAGCGTCTTTAACTCCTGAGCCATCGCCCCCCTTGTGGTAACTTTTTAGGAAATAAGTTAATTCGCTATTTGATTCTTACCGTCATCGAACGTGTCAACCAGTTGACTGGGATTGATTTCTGCTCCGCCAATCAGTATGTTATCCAGGGCCCACTGAGCACGATCAAACCCCGAAACAACAATGCCGTTGTTAATCACAAATGGTTGCCACCAGCGTAGGCGGGTTGTGTTGGTGAGAGCTTTTTCTGGGAGCAGAATATAATCGTGCCTGATGGAGATATATTTCTGATAATCCATCTCATGCAGTAACGTCCACGATATTCCTGTATTACGGTGGTTCAAGATAAAGAAAGAATCAAGAAAGGTATGAGGTTCCTTGTGGAGTTCTGAAGAACTGATTTGTGACGAGGGCTGTATTTTTATAAAATGGGAATAATCCTCTTTCTCCAAGCAATCATTATGAACATAGAATATATGTTCATAGAAAGTAGACATTGCCAGGTAATATATATTTAGAATATATAGAATATATATTATCTTTCAAGAGAAGGAATAATAAAGCATAAGTTTGAACACTGCAGAATTTTATTTCTGCAATCCAAAACATCTGGATAGGTGTATGAGTTTCAATCAGCCATCACTGGATTGTACTGGTATATACTGTATTATGTATCTAAACTTCCTTTGTTTTTCCCCTTTCATTTATGTATGGATAGAACAAAAATCAGAAAAAAGGGGGCTGTTGAAACCTGGAATTTTTGAAATGAAAGAAGACAAAGAGAATTGAAAGAGAAAGGCATTTTAAAAAGCAAAAGCTCTATTGCCAAGTATGGCTTTGTCTATACCTAATATTCTTTCTTTGTATATTTTCTATTGTTGGGCCAGAGGTAGGCAATTATGGACTCTTTACAACCTGTGGACCACAACTCCCAGAATTCCCTAGCCAGACATGCTTTCTGGGAGCATGGAAGCCAGGAATTCTGGGAGTTGAAGCCCACAGATCGTAAAGGGGCCATAGTTATCCACCCCTATGTTAGACTAATAGAAATATCTGTTTGTTGTGGTTCGCCGGCAGCAGGTGCGGACAGCTGAGGTCTCAGAGAGTGAGGACTAAGATGAGGGGCCTGTGTGTGATGCAGGGATGGGGCCAGGACCATCAGGGAGTGGAGTGCTACCTTCGGAGATTGTGGAGGCTGGCAGCAGTGATGAAGAGGTCCCCGAGGAGCCTGTGCCAGGTGTGTTTGCATGCAGGGCTACTCGTAGGAAAGAGCAGCTGCAGCAGCACGGGCAACTTGGGAGTAAGGCTGCAAGGTAATGGCCCCTCCCTTCAGAGATAAAAGCCAGCCTGAGAGACCGGGATTCTTTTCAGGAAGCAAAGAAGTTCTTGCACTTCAAGCCTTGTGGAAGTTCAGACTATCTTGGCTTGTGTTTGAATATATATTTTTTTGGAATATTTCTTGGCAACTTAATCTAGTGCTTTTGGCAGCCTTGCACAACCTTGGCAAGGCTCGTTCTTATCAGAGACAATTAAGTTTTAATAGCCTTTTAACCATGAATTAATGGAATTCACAGAAAAGCATTAAAAGGTTTTGCTTTTATCTCTGTTTGGTGTTTGTTTACCTGGAACAAGGTTTGGGTCAGAACACTATTAGAACACTATTATAAATCACTTGCCTCCATCTGTTGAGTAATCCAGTAGAACTCCTTCCTTTCGACATGTTGGTCTATGACAAGTGGTCATGTTGTTTTCACTCCCTATTCTTCCCCAGTATTGTAGAAACCTGGATAAAAAAAATGCATCACTAAGTATATATTTTAATAACATGCTGAAAGAAACTGCATGTGTGTTTAGTCCTGGATACCTTCCTTTCTCAAGGTTCTTCTGAGGGAATCACGGAGCTCAACCTGAGACTTCGTGGTTTACTTAAATACATTAAAACTCCTAATTTGATTTTTAGATGTTGATAACATCACTGTGGAAAAAGTGAATTTCAGAAACAAGATGTTTGGTTAGAGTTGGGCTAGATGAATACAAAAGCTATTTATATGGAGTGTTTTCCAAACCTTCCTTCTACATCTTACTCCTTTTCCTGTATTTTTGTTGTGGCCTATTGGCCATCGGCCTCTCCAGCAGCCAAATCAGAGGAATATTAGGTCAATATTAGGGCAACCTGAGGGGGAAGAGGGAATGGAGCCATCAGAGAGAGAAAGAGACAGAGGCAGAGCCATCAGCCCTCAGATGGAGAGTCAACAGTCCCCAGGTCTGGAAGTGGCTAATGAGGAAGAGGAGGAACAGCTGGGTCCAGTGCCTGACACATAGGTGCACAGAAGGCAGAGGAGAGGAGAGCAGTGGAAATCTGTGGGACGATCCTCGGGATGGAAGAGCCACCACTGCTAGCGAAATCCCACCCTGGCTCTAGGGATAAAAAGCAGGGGGTGGAGATGAATAGAAGTGGCAGACAACTATTTATCTCTCTGCCGGACAGACTTGTTAGCCTGCTGTGAGTGAGATATTTTTTTTGCCGGGGCTGCTGGCGCTCCTAATAAAGGAATCATTGCTTCAACTACAGAGGGTTTGTCATGTTTGAGGAGCTGGGTCAGAATAATTTTCTGGTCTAAAACCATTCATGGATTTAATAAATTAAAGGCTACTCCTTTCAACAGAGAGAGTTTAAAAATACTATAGACCCATGATGGCGAACCTATGGCACGCAGAGCCATTTGTGCCTGTACGGGAGCTGCAGGCAAACTTACCTCACTTTACATCGCGCACGCCTCACAGCTGATTTTCGGTTGGTTTGAGGCCTTTTTCGGCCTCCCAGAGGCTTCAGGAAGGCTTCTGCAGGCTTCTGCTGGCTTTTCAGGCCAAAAACTAGGCCCATTTCATCACTTCCTGTTTTTCTGGAAATACCGGAAGTGATGAAACAGGGCTAGTTTTCAACCTGAAAAGCCTGCAGAAGCCTTCCTGAAGCCTCTGGGAGGTCAAAAAAGGCCTCAAACTGGCTGAAAATCAGCTGTGAGGTACAGTGCAGGTAAGGGGGCAGTGGGTGGTGATGGCTGGGGGGTGGGGATTGCACACGCATGCATAGGGGGCATGGGGGGATCGCGCATTGCCTTCTGGGTGCTGGCACACAAGCGCGAGCGTGCAAGCGTGCACACAATTTTTGGCACAGGAGCCCAAAAAGGTTAGCCACCACTGCTATAGACTGTAGGGCTGCAGTGAGCAACCTTAAACAAGATGATTTATATATTGGTTCAGCTTTGGAACAGTGGATAATTTATTAAATTATTGATAACTTTTCACAAGGTTAGCTGACGGATGTGGTCAGCTGGGGAAATAAGTCCTTCCTTTCCTGAGTTGAAGTTTTAAGGATGTAGGTTTTATGCCCCGTCCTGTCATACTTCTGGACTTGCATCATGGTTATTGTTCATCGCTAACTGTCATTGAAATGGATGAGTTACGTTCACCTCTATTAGGTAAGCTGACCTACTTTGCGCCCCGCAGGTCCAGGTCTTGGGTCACCGCCTGCCTCACGGTTGGTCCTCCAAAATATAGAGCCGTGTCCTCGGCCAGAACCCCACATTCCAGACAGGCCAGCCCGCCTTCCAGGGACATCCATAAATCAGGGCGAATTTCTTCATTGTCGAAACGCTCCTTCAAGAAGGTCTGGTGAGGGGTTGCAAGATATAAAAATAGGCTGATGTGCTGTTTTCTTCTTTCAGATGAAATGCTCGGAAAAATATAATTCCTTCCTTCCTTCCTCCCTCCCTCCTTCTCCTTTTCTCCCCTTCCCTTCCCCTTCTCTCTTCCCTTCCCATTTGCTTCCCTCCCCCTTCCCTTCTTCTTCCTTTCCCCTTCCCTTCCCTCCCTCTTTCCTTTCCTTCCCATTCCCTTCCCTTCCCATTCCCCTTCCCCTCCCCCTCCATTTTCGCTTCTCTTCCCTTCCCATTCCCTCTTCCCTATCCATTTCCTTCCCTTCTCTTGTCCCCATTATATACCAGAATTATTTGACATCGGAAGTAGATTTTGGAATAATAAACTTATATTTTCAGCAGAAATGTAATCCAAATACATATTAAAAGGTAAAAGTTTCCCCTGTCCAGTCATGTCTGACTCTAGGGAGCAGTGTTCATCTCCACTTCTTAGTCGAGGGAGCCAGCATTGTCTGGAGACAATTTCCATGGTCATGTGGCCAGCATGACTATATGCCGAGGTGCATGGAACACTTTTAACATTCTCACCAAAGTGGTACCTATTTATCTACTTGTATTTGCATGCTTTCGAACTGCTAGGTAAACAGGAACTCGGGCAAGTAATGGGAACTCATTCCGTCTGCACAGCACTTGGGTCTTGAACCCGGACTGTCAGCTTTCCAGCTGACAAGCTCGGTGTTTTTAACTGCTGAGCCACCATACCTCTAAATACATATTAGTCAGACAAAAAACCAAGAATAACAGGGGGCGATTCTTCAAAAGTTCCTTATTGTTTCACATCTATAGACAGAATCTTGCCAGACTCTACTATTGGCATCTGCAACATACTCTGTACTATTAGGGAAGACTTGTCCTCATCCTCTTTCTCCCACACAAAATATCTGTGTTGAGATGCCCCTTATTCTTCTGGAATGCAGCCCCTCCTTTCTCCTCACTACATTCCCTCACAATACTTTTATAATCATTTCATGTAATGTGAAGTAGTGTGGTATTCCTTTGAATGCAAATATTTAGCTTATTTGCATTTCTTTCCATGGTCCAAATTATCTTTAATTACCTTCAGAGGATGGGTCAAGTAACAATTCGGCCCAGAGAATCCTGGATCGCAAATGCACTGCTCTTTCAAGCAATCCCCATGGCCTTGGCAGTTTTCGACACAACCAGGCCCAAGGTAGAAATTGTCAATGGCCCACTGCATATCGGAGTACTTCTGATAAAATCTGAATCTCACTGGACTGCAGGAACACATAAGAAGAAGCTGAGATTATCACATACACCTTGTGTCATGCCCCTTTTGGAATCTGACTCAGAGGAGGAAGATGAACAGCTGACAGGGAGCGGGAGTGTGGCTCTGTTGGCTGTGGAGGAAACTGGGGAAGGGCAAAGTCTGGCTGGGCAGAGCAGGGAAGAGGTAGAACAAGGGAGAAGGAGTTCAGAGGAAGACCCAGGCCCACCCCCTCTTCATCCTAGGGCACGCAGAAGAGAGCAACGTGGGGTTGTGCGGCTTACAGGGGAGGAAAGGGCCCTGATTCCCTTCATTAGCTGCAGCTGGGAACACAGTGTATAAAAAAGGCAAGCTGCATGCAGCAGGCTGTTGGGAGCAAACGTGACTTTATCTTGTATCACCATGGCTTATCTGTATTCCTGGCGTCTTCCCAACTGTGTGAGTTTTGCTGTGCTTTCAAGTTTGAAATTCTTGCTTCTGCCCTGCCAAACTAATTACTTCAGTTTGGCTTGTTTGGACTTTAAGTTACAATTTGTGTTAACCATGTTTTGGACTGAATTTTCTGCAGCCAAAGGCTGTTCCTGGGAGAGTTTTTCAGCCCGTCAGTATCGCTGGTTCCAATTTTCTGGCTTTTAACCAACTGACTAAGAGTTTTTGGAAATGCAAAAATTTTCAACAAATTTATACAATGTTCCAATTTCTCCTTCATAAAATATATATATATATAAAAGTGAAAGATTCCCTCATGCATCATCACAAAATCTCCAGAACTGTAAAGCCTACAAACTGGAAATTTGGCACATATGTTCCTCTTGGCTTCTTAGGTGCTTGCTAAGAAAGGATTTTTCGAAATAACCATCAAAGCATTAGAATTTCCTATATTATTATTATTAACACGCTCTGATGCTAAGGAGTTCTACTCACCCTCCCCACCTGAAAAGAAATCTGTTCCAAAGGCAAAACGCAAGCAGAGGAGAGGAGTTTCAGTTTCAGTCTTAGTTTCACAGCAGCAAGCAGCTTTAGTGCAGAACAGTTGAGCTAAACCATGCCCAGGTTCCTTGTTGTCTCCTTCTTGCTCACACAACAAATACTGTTTCAGTTTCCAAACAGCCCTCAATTCTCTCACACACTGACAAGACGCTAGCCAGATGAATACCGATGGATGCTGGTAGGCAGAGGCAGATTTTTTCCCCCCTTGTTTTCCTCCCCAAAAACTATGCCTGACTACAATAGTTTTGTAGCAAAGCACGGGTATCGAGCTAGTTAAGTATAGCTTTCTACTTACTTTCCTACTAGGTTTTCAGGCAATGGGTATGTTATCCTTTTCCATCCTTTGGTTGGGAAGAAGACAGAAGGCTGGGAAACAGCCCCAGAGCACTTGGGGTCGGCAGGCAAACACTGAGGGATGAGGTACCTCCAACTCACGCCAAAATCGGTGGAATATTGTACATGGACTTGGTTCTGAGCAATTTTTTCTGAGGTTTTACATCCAACAGAAATCTAAGGGGTGCAAAAAACACGAATGTGTTTTGTTTAAAAAAAAATCAGTAAAGATAATTCAGATCTTAATGCATAAAAAGAAGGTTGCTTCAACAGAAGAGAATATTTGTAGGTCAAGGTTGAAATGCGGGGTCGTTGGTGAATTAGTTAACACTGCTAGCTTATGTCACCCAATATTTTTCCATGTGGTACTCCAGCATTTAGCTCATCATTGCAATAGGCATTACAATAGGTTGGGGGGGGGGGGGAAGATAGCCATATTCCAGCATATGAGATGCTGCCACAAAGAGGAGGGGTTCAATTTATTTTCGAAAGCACCAGGAGGCAAGACAAGTAACAACGGATGGAAATTAATCAACAAGAGAAGCAACCTGGAATTAAGGAGAAAATTCCCAACAGTGAGGACAATTAACCAGTGGAACAGCTTGGCCTTCAGAAGTTCTGGGTGCTCCATCACTGGAGGTTTTTAAGAAGAGACTGGACAGCCATTTGTCCAGAATGGTATAGGGTAGTGGTGGATAAACTTTTGGGCTCCTGTGCCAAAAAGTGTGTGCGTGCTTGCATGCTCGAGCTCGCGTGCCAGCACACAGAAGGCAATGCGCGGCCCCCCTGCCCCTACGCATGCACACGCAATACACACCCACCCCTCTGGCCGCCCCCTTACCTGCACTGCGCCTCACAGCTGATTTTCTGTGGGTTTGAGGCCTTTTTCAGCCTCCCAGAGGCTTTAGGAAGGCTTCTGCAGGCTTTTCAGGCTGAAAACTAGCCGTGTTTCATCACTTCTGGTATTTCCGGAACAAGAGGAAGTCATGAAACGGGCCTAGTTTTCATCCTGAAAAGCCTGCAGAAGCCTGCAGAAGCCTCCCTGAAGCCTCTGGGAGGCCGAAAAAGGCCGAAAAAGGCCTCAAACCCACCCAAAATCAGCTGTGAGGCGTGTACATGCACAGTGAGGAAAGTTTGCCTGCAGCTCGCGTGCCAGCACAAATGGCTCTGTGTGACACCTGTGGCACACGTGCCATAGATCGCCATCATGGGTATAGGGTCTCCTGCTTGAGCAGGGACTGGACTAGAAGACCTCCAAGGTCCCTTCCAGCTCTATTCTGATTTATTGATATACTGACAACTCTAATGTAGATATCCAAGTACCGGCCAAGAGTTTGTTGTTTAGACAGACAGACTTCCTTTTGGAAAGCTATTTATGAATTCAGAGGTCCATAAAAATCTCCATTCTTTAAAACTAGAGTTTACCTTGAACTGCATGATCCAATGCTCCATAGGAGTTAGGTCGTGGGTGATGGCGTAGGCCTCTCGGCCATCATGGCTACCACACATCAGGACCCCATCAGGGGAATCACAGAATTTTTCAATGGAACAATCATCATGGAACATCCAGAGCTCATTCACTGAGGAGAAAAAATATATATTCCAATCAGTATTTCAAAAATATTCCAGTCGGTGTTTAAAAGCCCAATCGGTATTTTAAAATTAACACGTTTTAAAATTAGATGGGTTAATTAGGCGGTCTTAATGACCAAAAACCAGTATCTGGATTACTAACGTATTATGGGATTGTAACACGATAATGAATTGTCTTTTTATAAACACAAAAGTTTTAGCTAGATTCTTACATTTTAGAGGAAACCAAGTTTTGTGATAATACTATTTTCCCCCCATGCCTGCTTTGAGGGCTATCAACTCTTTCTATATTTATACACCTGTCTTTTAAATTGCTACCTGCTTAGAAAAAAAAGCAAACAGTAGATGCTTTTTAAAATCATTTCGGGATAATTTCTGTGGTTGATTTCTTCTTCTTATACAAATATCCAGTAAAACTGTCATCCACATTCTAAAGTAAAGGGTTGAATTTAAGTGGTATTAAATTCAATCCTTCATTTATCATCTGTAAAATTTACCCCCTTTTTTTGGTCATTTTTGTTTCCTTGTATTATTTTTACCTTTTTCTACTTTGATATCTTAATGCTTTCTCTCTTTCTTTTTTTAATCTATTTCACTCTTGGACCATTTGTTTTTGTTAGTTTTCATTTTTATTTGTAAACGCATTTAATAAAATATATTATGAAGGGAAGATTGAAGAGAAGGAGCAGGGGAGACAGGATAGCAGTCTTCCAATATTTGAGGGGCTGCCACAGAGAGGAGGAGATCAAACTATTTTCTAAAGCACCTGAAGGCCAGACAAGGAATAATGGAAACCGAACAAGGAGAGATTCAACCCAGAAATAAGGAGAAATTTTCTGACAGTGAGAACTATCAACCTGTGGAACAAAAGTTTGTTAGAGTTTGCAGCATAAATTCACATCCAGAAAGCACACAGACTGATTCAGCAGGATCATTAACTTCTTTATAAACATAATATGAGTAAAGTTTACAATACCATTTGTAGATTCTTTTAACGTAACATAAGCAAAAACATAAGCAGCAGCAGTTCACAGCAGATATCGGTTTCAGCAAGCAAGCAAGTTAGTTTCTCTTTCACTTTAGAGCTCAGCACAGAACAGAGATTCTCTCTTTAAGTTTCAGCCCCCAAGTCATCTCTCATAGGCTAACCTTGTTACTAAGCTCTATTCTAGTCCGTGAATATACTCTGACAAAGTTGCCTTTGGACTTTGTGGGAGCTTCATCACTGAAGGCTTTCAAGAAGAGCTTGGACCAGAGGTGGTATTCAGCAGGTTCTGACCAGTTTTGGAGAACTGGTAGCGGAAATGTTGAGTAGTTTGGAGAACCGGCAAATCCCACCTCTGACTGGCCCCGCCCCCATCTATTCTCTGCCTCCCATTGAGTCCCAGCTGATCGTCTGGGTCTTCTTTGGTTGCCCTGCACAGGAGAATGGAGCTGGAAAGCAGGTTAGTGGAGTGGGGAGGGAATGGAGATTTTACAGTATCCTTCCCTTGCCATGCCCACCAAGCCACGCCCACAGAACTGGTAGTAAAAAGTTTTCAATCCCACCACTGGATTGGACTGCCATTTGTCAGAAATGGTGTAGGGTCTTCTGCTTGGATTAGATGGTCTACAAGATCCCATCCAACTATGTTAATCTGTAATATTCTTATTTAATAAAAAAAACACGGACACTCCCACTGATTTGCAACTATAGGAACGCTTACCTGTTGTTCTGTCGTCTAAAAACATATCAAAAGCAATTCTGCCGGTGGGTCCCGCATCAGCTGGAGAGCGTTCGTGCTGAGGCAATGGCGCACTGCTAAAAGTATCCAGCATCACCGTCCTCTGATCTGCTGAGCCAGAGATCAATACGTTGTCAATAGCCCAATCGCTTTGGTCGAGACCCTCGTGTTTAGGCTGCCACCAGCGAAAACGAGTTCCCACTCGCTTGGCGTCCGGAGGAAGCATAATGTTCACGAAGCTAAATGGAGAAACATCGCACACCAATTAACTAAATATTTTTTAAAGCACATAGAGATAGTCCTGCACTTACAACAGTTCATATTGTGACTGTTTGAGGTTACAAAAGCACTGAAAAAAGTCACCCCTTTTTCACACTTATAATTGTTGTGGCATCCTTCTGAGGTCAGTAAAACTAGGACCCAGATTGTTGGGAGCAATAGGCTTCTCCCGGGCCTCTGGGAGGGCGAAAATAGCCTCCCGCGGGCCTGGAGGCCCACTGGAAGCTGGAAACAGGACTGTTTCTGGACTTCTGGAAGGCCCGTTTTCCCCCCTCCCAGCCTCCACGTAGACCCTGCACTTATCTGCATCATGTGGAGATTCCTGGGGGGGGGGGGCGGGGGGAGGTGGGCAGGGCCAGCCAGTCAGTTGAAATACCGGTTCGGTGAACGAGATGTAACTTTAACAGCCGGTGCAACTGAACTGGTCCAAACCGGTAGAATCCTACCCCTGCCAGATCCGGCCCAAGGGCTTTGAGTTTGACACCCCTGCTCTACATGAACACAGTTATTGTGCTGACTTTAAGGATATGGAAGATCTTTTTAAACTACAAAACAGCTATAAGAATGTTAATCTTAAATTAAGCCTCGGTAAGGGAGCAAGGATCCATCTGGGGGAAAAAACCACTGAGTTTTAAAATGCTAGAATTTCCATTCTTAAGTAATATCTACTCTTAGTTCAGTCTATTCATACTGACAGGATGAGGTTTTATGAGTTATCTCAACAGGCAACAGGGGCATAGCTATTACCCAGGCTTGCTGAACTGGTCGTAAAAGATTTCCATCAAGAGCGTCCACGTAATGCCACCATTCATAGAGTATTCCAGGAGAACTCCTTGATTACGATTGTTGGGGCTGATCAGACATCCGTACATGAAGTAAAACTGAATGAATTCTGCCTTGGTTAGGTTGAGATCCACTGTCACAAGCAAACGGCTGCATCCCTTAGAAAAGGAGGAAAAATAATTGAGAGCACTAAGGAAAAAGAAGAAGAAGCAATTTAGTATTGTTAATTGATAGAAGAAAAGGACCAAGGTTATTTTTTTCTCTCTGTCCAAAGAAGGCAAAAGCAGGATTAAGAGGTTTATTAAAGGGCTATGCATTTATTAAAGGGCTGTTGAAAGGCTGTCAAAATGCCTTTCTGCTGAGGATTCAATTTTCTCGCTGGGAGAACTCCGGCGCAAGGATACGGACAACTGCTTGAAAGCCAGATCTTTTTTATTTTTCAGGAAGGCGAGAGATAGCGAGGAGGCTGCGTTCCTGGGCTAGCTACCTTCGTATGGTAAGTCCCTTGATTTTTATACCCTTTTTCTCCTTTTGTGTGTATGTGCTTGTATTTGTATTTAATGTTTCAAATCCTGTCAGGGTTTGTCTTTATTTCCGCCAGAGGGTAAACTCCGTGGGGTGCGGAAGGCAAACTTTGCGGGGTAGACCGATTGTATTATCGGCTTCGTTCTAATCTCTTTTAGCTTTACAATAGTTTCTTATATTTGTTTTGTGGCAATCTCCTGTCTGTCTCCTTTATAATCTATATGTTTTTGTGTCTTTTGTCTGTTTGTTTTGCTGATTTGGCATGTCTCGTGTTTGTAAGGGTTTTCTTTTCTTATTTCTCTAGTTTTCTTAATTATTTGGGCTTTTGTCTAAAGGGCTTCTTTAATACCTTTTATTTGATTCCTTTTCCTATGTAAGTTTGTTTTATGGCTGGCCTGATGTTCCCCTTGGGCTTTTCCTGCTTGAGTGGCACCACTGTCCTTGTGAAGTTCCCTTTCCACAGGGCAATGCAAAAATAGGCAGGTGTGGGCTTCAAAAAATTTAGCAACCAGTTCTCTGCCCGGTTGCTGGCTGGGTGTGACCATGGTGGATGTGACCTAGTCAGCCTCCTGCACCACCCTGGCCTGGGAGCGAAAACCAGCCACCGGGGGGGGGGGGGCATTTTCACCATCCCTGGGCTCTGGAGGGTTTCCTCGAGCCTCCGGGAGGGCGAAAACGACCACTCCAGGCTCTGGAAGCTTGGAAACGGGCCCATTTTCTGGCCTTCAAGAACTTCCGGGAGGTCCATTTTTGCCCTCCCCGGGCTCCGGAGGCTCTCTGGAGGCCGGAAATTCTCTGGAGGCCAGCCTTCCAGAACTTCTGGAAGGTCCCTGAGCCTTTGCATGGGCCCTGCACTTACCTGCGATCCAAAATGGGGCCATGTGCGGAGGGGTGGGGAGGGGCGGGCGGGGCCAGCCAGAGGTAGGATTTGCTAGTTTGCTGAACTGGCCATAAAATTAACAACTGATTCACCTGAACCGGTAAGAACCGGTAGCAGCCCACTCCTGAAAATAGGTTCTTTGGAGCAACTGAGAGCAGCACAAACATTTCACCTTTCTGCAACCCTTTAAAGCAGCCACATATTTCTCTAAGTTATTTGGCATTCCATTCAATGCTGGAAACTGCCAAGAGTTGTCTTGTTGTGAGATTGGCAACAAATAAAATCCATTTATTCATTTAATCAAACGATCAATAAAGGTTTCCTACAGAATGTAGCAACATAATTTGTAGCAACATAATTTGGTTTCTGAAAAGTTGTTTCCCCAATCATTATTGGTTTATTAATTTATTTGTATCCCGATTTTTATTATTTTTATCAACAACTCAAGTTGGTGAACATGTCCCAACACAACTTCCTCCTCCTATTTTCCTCAAAACAACAACCCTGGAAGGTGGGTTGGGATAGGAAGTACTGGCCCAAGGCCACCCAGCCAGCTTTCTTGGCTAAGGCAGGACTAGAACTCACAGTCTCCTGGTAATTGGCCCAAAGTCATCCAGCTGGCTTTCTTGGCTAAAGCGGGACTAGAACTTTCAGTCTCCTGGTGATTGGCCCAAAGTTATCCAGCTGGCTTTCATGACTAA